CAGAGGCCTTGCTGCCGGATTTAGTTTATCATCATACCCAGGACGCTAAAAATATAATGTAATAAATATAGATTATATGCATTCTCCACACATGAAAGGTAATATTAGAATAACTTGTTTTAATTTTTCTCAATTACGTGCAATGGAGATAGCAATAAAAATGATATTTTTTATGATGCATCTAATTTTATTTCAAAGACTGTTACACAATTAATGTTCCTATAAAGATTTTAACAACTTAAAATGATTTTTAGAATATGAGTGAGGCCAAAGAAACGGAATTCAATTATATACATTATACATAATGATAGAAACATCAAATTCGATCAAGTTGCTCACAAATATATTCTAACGTTGGCCCATAATGCATACATATGTACACATGCTTAGGTAACGTGAGAACATAAACAAAAGAATGGAATTTTTAATAGGTTCGTAAATATTTATGAGGGTAGCAATGGTAAAAGTTACTACACCAATAGTTCACTGTGCTAATGGGATACAGAGATAAACTCGGGCCCTGCACGCCCAGGTCTATGGAAAACTCTGCAAACACAGAACTAAGCAACTAAGCAACCATAACTGTTCCGCTAATGTGGCTATTGGTATCGCATTACTTCGTTGTACGCGATATTTCTAGTATACAAACAAACGACGTAGATCGTATAGAAAGAAGAAGTGTGCTGACGTAGGAAGGATTAGATAGTCACAAAATAACTGCGTTTTAAGTTAACTTGTGTCCCGAAGATTTGTAAAATCGTAGAAAGATTGATTTCGGTCGAGTAGTTCACGACTTAAAATTGGGACAATAGAAATTCATTGTAACTCGGTCCCTACTCGCTCGCCATCATGGACCTCAAACAAACCAAACTTTTTATTTATTTATTTTTTGTTTATGAATGTTTTTTTAATACTTCATATTACTATCAATTAAGTACGCTTAGATAATGATAATTAAAAAAAAATTGTTCCAGTTTAATAATTTAAAACAATCACTAGCAGTCCCCGTGAAAATTTCGCGGCTTTCATGTTTTAATTTTTCTTTCTTTCTTTCTTTGCTTCTTTCTTTCTTTCTCACTGAAATCAAACAAAATCTTTCCACGCTATCAAAATGTAACAGTCCATTATTTATGAAGGTATTAGCCGGACGTAACGGTCGTACTAACAACGGAACTAATGGAGGATGAGTAGAATTATAAGATACTTCTATAAAAAAAAATAAAAAAAATTACCCATAATTTGACGATGCTCATTGTCACAAGTTCCGTGACCTATTAGAATCATTCAAGCACCATTGTAACTGAAGTAGCAATCGGTGTGTCTAGGGTAATGGGACCATCCCTCGTCAGGCTGGTTTTCAATACAGAGTTATTCTCCTTAATGCTGAAGAACGTTGTCTACTCTATTATTTACGAGCGATTTTTCTTCTTGACTAGTTGTCACCCAAGCTATTAAATACAATAGCTGGAAGAAAATAGATCCATTCCTTTTCCAAGTATATCCATGCAAACTAAACGAAAGAGACTCGCTTAAAATTTGAACTCGGCGCGTCGAATCCACTTTTTCGCGCCGATAGACATTATGATACCCGTTAATACTTTCATGGGAAATATTCTAATGAAGTTTCCCCTATATTACCTAGACTTTATGAATTTAAGTACAGTACTAGATTGGTGGACAAGGTCTCTTCATTTTACAGCTGAAATGGCTCGATGTAACCGTAAGTTCTGTGCTAACAGTTTTTTTTCTATCACACTTCTCGCTTGTAGAACATTCTTCTTGTTTTTTGCTTTCCAGTCAAGATTGATCTTCAAAAATTTAAATGCAACGCCAATCGTTATATTTTGTCTTCTTAATTCATGTTCTTTTAATGTTCTCTCTCCTTAATAGTATTATTTTTTTTCTTATATTCTGTAACACTCAGTAACCCGTTGCGTCTTAGTGATTCAGTTGCCTTACTTGGGGTGAAATAATTAAGAGAAAATCTAATTATTATAGTAATGAATTTGACTATAGGAATTGGTCGAAAAATATGGTGGGTTATCAGAAATGTCAAACGTTACGAATAGAATGCGGAAATTATATGTACAATGTGTAACTATTTAAATAATAGAAAATAACAGACCAATCGAATCAATTCTCTCTCTCTCTCTCTCTCTCTCTCTCTCTCTCTCTCTCTCTCTCTCTCTCTTCATTTTACAGTGGAAATCGATAGATGTAACCGTAAGTTTTATGCTAACAGTTTGTTCTATCGCACTTCTCACTTGTGGAACTCTCTTCCGGCTTCTTGCATCCCAGTCAACTTTGATCTTCAAAAAGTCAACGCCAACCGTTATCTTGTCTTGTTAATTGTTGTTCTTTTAATGTTTCCTCTCCTTTTTTTTTTTTTTCATATTCTATAACAGGTAAGTATCCCCTTGTGTCTTAGTGGTTTTATTGCCTTGTTTGGGGTGAAATGATTAAGAGAAACTCGAATTACTATAGTAATAGAATTTGACTATAGGAATTGGTTGAAAAATATGGTGGTTTGGATTGAATTTCTTTTTTTCCAGGTTTTCGGATAAGACATATAGCCACCTCGATATCATTTGTCGCAAGAATCACTGAAAAAATCCTTTGAGTTATTCAACTGGAAAGAGAACAGGTTAAAATCGTTTTGTGTCAGCCCTACTATGTCTTTCCAACTGAGCAATGGTGAGAAGAAAAATCATTCAACTCTTCAGTAATGGTACCAATTCATACTCTGGCTTCCGTCTTCAAAGTTCAATCAAGAACGGTGAATAAGTTTAAAAAAGAGGGGACAGTAGAGAGGAAAACTGGATCAGGAGGTCACAACAGCAAGAGGGGGATCATCATTTCAACTTAGATCTTTTCTAATTGATCAAAGAGATCAATTAGAAAAGATCCAACTCAACCCATAAGATGTTTGGCACGTGAGAGAACAGTTTCAGCTATGACAGTCTAAAGAGCAGTGAAAAAAGACTTGAGAATGAAATCGTACGTGAATCCATTGAGGCACCTTTTTACTCCAGGAGACAAAGTTAGAAGGTTAGAGAGAGCGAAGTTCATTTTGAATAAGTTGGAAAATGACCCTGGAATAATATATATATATATATATATATATATATATATATATATATATATATATATATATTTTTGAACTTTATTTCAATCTTTCATAAGCTTCTGCTCCTTAGCTATAATACATGTCATTTTCTTTTATGATCGATTTCGTCACGATTGTTCTGGAGAATAATTATATATTCTTATTGCTCAAACTAGAGTGCAAAAGTGTTATAAAAACCTCGGAGGATTCCAGTGAGATATTTTAATTATTTGTAAGATACAACGGTTCAGAGCTTAATCTAACAAATGGACAATTTTGCTGTTACACGATTTGGACAATTTTGCTGTTACAACTAGTATATATATATATATATATATATATATATATATATATATATATATATATATATATTCACACACAAGATAATTAGTTTCATTGAATCACATTCCGCGCGTGCGTAGAGGACAAAGTGGCAAGGAATAAACCAATCTATCTCTCTCTCACTCACTCTCTCTCACACACACACACACACACACACACTCATTTTCCCTCTCTCTCTCCCGTCCCAGGTAAGACGATAAACTACGTCCAACAGCAAAGCTTCTGCTCAGGAGGTTTTGAGGAGCCTGGAACCACCTCTTAATTCTTGGTGTTTCCAGGTCCACCCTGACCCGGGGTAGTAGCACCTGTTAGGGTCTCAGCTATGGGTAAATAGTTAACACCCAAAATGCGGTCAAAACACAATTAAAGTGTAAAAATAGGTTTTCATAACAGAAATACTTTGTAAAAAAATTATTACCAGCAATAAATTTTTGAAGAACAATTATTACCAGCAATATATTTTTGGAAAAAAAATTACCAGCAATAACAATCTTGTCGCCATTAAATAACTCATTGAGGTTGATATGCCGTAAAACAAACAAAACCACCCCCCTCTCTCTCTCTCTCTCTCTCAAAATCAATCTTTCTCTTTCAAAATCTTTATATCTCTTTCACACACACACACACTCTCTCTCTCTCTCTCTCTCTCTCTCCAATACACATCCTTGTATACGAGAGAGTGTTGAAATGACACACTTATCAAAATCATTACTTCAATCTTACACCACGTGCTCAGTATCTCAAACTGTAGAATAGTATGTAACTGATGCAATGGATAAATTGTCGTCTAAATTACGCAAAAATGAAAATAACACTGACATGTTATTTTAATAGATATCATATTTACCAAAATTACACCAAAATATCTTGGAATATTAAAGAGTGAATTTATTCAATAAAATCGCCATTGGCTTCAACCACGGCCACCAGACCACTTCAGAATCACCTGCAACTCTTCTGGATGGTCTTGTTTAAGTTGGGGAATACTTCCATTGCCTTCAGTTCATCTTTGATCTTACAAGGAGTTTTGTTGGTCTCTCGTTGAACTGTGACCCACACATAATAATCAAGAGGTGCAGTCTGGAGAGTGTGGTGGCCAGATGTAAGGAGTAATGTGGTCGCAGAAATTGTTTGACAGCCATGGCTAGGTTCTCTTCCTTGTGCGGCATCGTGTAGAGTCCTCTTGCCAAGCATCGGGTCTTCCAGTAGCCACCCTTCGTAATCACCATTAGACTCATCCAACTATTTCCGAATCGTATGCACTGTCCTCATATTGACAGCCAAATACTCTGAAATGTTCGTATTGTATTTTTCAGAGCGAATGCCAAGCAGTACAGCATGCCGTTTCCACATTTCTGGCGAAGTTTAATTGCGTTATGGTGCTCTTTTTCTCACAGACGATGCCCAACTGACCCCACTATACTATGCAATCGACAAACTCAAAAACACACAACGCGTATTCGCAAAATTAAAATTAAGAATATAAAATGGTGACTATTTACCCATCGCATCCTGTGCATTTATGCATACCCCCCTTCATATAAGTACTTACCATTCGTGAAAACGTTATTGTAGTTTGTTACACTTGCAAGTATCTGAAATGAGAAAATATTTGAAATAGCGTTACTTTCCAGGAATGTTGTTAACTTTAAATCATATATTCTTATATTTAAAAAAATGGTAGATTGTTCTATCTTTCATCAAGCATAACGAAATTGGATCAAAATGTTTGTAGACTGCGGCAGTAAATCATGGTCAATCTCCTTACAGATGAAGAAAAGATCAAAGTGATAGATGTGGGCTTACTGATGAATACTGAGAATACTAAGGACAGAGCAACGAGGAAATCTTAAGGAGAATGGAAACGATATTGAAAGTAATTCAATTAAAATTTTACTAAACAATAACAGATGACACTGAATGCGTGGTTGTAAGCAAAAGAGTCAGTTCAAGATGCGAGCTACATAGTGGGGACGTTAAAATCAAGCAAATACAGAGATTTACCTACCTGGTTGGTGTAATAACAGAATACAGAACATGTGACACAATTCCGAAGGTGCATAAGAATAACAGAAAGTGATTTGCAGTAACTGAACAGGATATTAAGAGATAGGAAAAATATATCTGAACTGCAATGTAATATCTAATCTCTTCATAGGTCAAGAATACTGGACAATATCATCCTGACATTTACTATGAGTAGAACGCCTACTCATGGAACAGTGGTAGAAAATGGTTCGCAATAGTGTAGCACTTGTCGCACTGAACTGCTTTATTCCCAATCCATGTTCTCATGTGATTAAACCCTTAATCACTCAAACTTTTGTTCCAGGGTTTTCCTGAGAGTCTTACTAACCAGCAACTATGAGCGTTATACAAACTTTATAACAGTAGTATAGGGTAACAGACAACGGAAAATATAACACAGAAAACAGTAAAGATCGAACCAGAACTAATGCCTATGTACTTAGCTATCTGCTGGACAGTAAGATGTCTGACATCCAAAACTATCGCCAAGAGATTACGCGGAGACCGAAAACAACGTTTCAATGATCAATTGAATACATCCCTGGCACAGTCGAAGATCAATCCTGAGACCAGGGGAAACGGTTGCCGCAAATCGGTCTTCCTAGCAAATGACCATCCCGGGCTCGGAGGAGACTAAGACTTTCAAGTCCAACCGTCAACATGGAGAGGATCTGCGACGCGTTGTCGGGAAGGCCCAACTTGCTCAGCAGCGTCCACCATCCACACTCTTCTGTGACACCTGCTCACGACTCTTCAGGGATAGGCTGGACCTTCACAAACATCTCCACCATCGCTACCAGTGGAGGAGAAAAGAGAATAGGGAGAGAGGATGACGATCCCTATGCGAACGGGTGCCGACGACGGCGGGTAGTGCTAGTGATAATGGTTCAGAATTGTTAACCAGAGAGTCGAGTTCCAATTCTAATTAGGTTCGTTATATTCACTTACACACAAATAACAAATAACCTCGGGATAGATATGAATTCACCTCTTTCCCCGCCAGCTATGGGTTAATTAGTAAGACTTGTATCACTAAGTCATTATTCACCCAAAAAATTATTTCAATTTAGAAATATTTTCTGACTTTAAATAACCTGAAAAGTGTTGATAAACCGTCAGTCAGTTATATGCCATGCGTGATATACGCTTAGGCGATCATGTATCTTTCGATACATGACTGACGAGGCAGGTTTTTTTTTCCCGCAGTAGGATGCCATTCTTTCTGCCGTAGACTAGTTGCCATCCAAGGCTATAGAACCCGCTCTGTCCAATAGATGTGGGGGAGAAGAAGAGGATTCATACCTTTCTCAAGGCACGTAAGTGAATGTAATGGATAAAAAGCGAATCAATCAGTAAAAACATAAACTTTGTTCCGCCATCCATTTTTTCACGTATAATCTACCAAGCAAGCTCGAGTAAATGGATGGGGGAGGGGATTAAGAGAGATAACAAAGAAACAAAGAGCTACAAAGGACAGGAAATTGCGGAGGGCCATGATCGCTAACGCCTTGAAGGGACACGGGATATAGAAGAAGAATCTATGTTAATAATCCCGAAAAACATAACATACAGTAGAGTAATGGATAGCGGCTCGGATTGTGGAATCGGAGAGCCGAGTTCGAATTCCAGTCGAATCCATTACATTCATTTACGCGCTAATACCCTTGGGAAAGGTATGAATCCTCTTCTTTTTCCCGAAGCTATGGGTAAATAGCAGGACAGACCGGGTTCTATAACCTTGGTCTACCGCAAAAAGAAATGGCAACCTACTGCGGGGAAAAAATCTGCCTCGTCTATCGAAAGATACATGATCGCCTAAGCGATTTTGAAATAAAATATGTTAGTAGGACCCGTCCATCCCACAATAAAATAAGAGTGGCCACAGTATTCTGCCAATTCAGGAATTTTCATGCGGCCGATGTTGGTAACGCAGTGACTGTTGTGACATTACAGACCCAAAAGTGCTGTAATTGAAGATACTCCCCTCCAGTGTTGCCTTGTTTCTCTCTTTCCGACGACTACGCTCTTCCTCCCCGGCATTATTCAGTCCCTCCTCGCTCCAACCCTTTGTACAATTCCTGCGTCAGCCTGAGCTCTCAGTCATCATGTCCTCCAACGTTCAATTCCAGTGACAATGTCTTTTTTGCAGACGGCTTTGAAACAAAGATGGGATCATCCTCATACTGTCTTGTCGGTAGCCAAATACATACAGTAGGTCTTTCAGAATCCTCCAGTCCAATGTACGTGAACCAGTTAGCGGAGACAACACTGTGGAAACAAAGTGAGGTGTACTGAGGAGGTACGTCTTGTAGGCTGCAATTTTAGTATTTATAGTTAACTTTGTTTTCCCAGACTCTCCTGTTCAGCCTGGCGATTATGGAGGCTGATCCGTCGACTTACAATGGAGTCCAGAGAACTTGCTATCTTGGCACTGCACTGGAGACCTAAGGGAAGAAACAGGGCAAAACACGGGACTGGCTGTAAACAAACTCAAATAAGCTCAACGTGATTATTGGGGCAAAACGTGCTGCTCTAGTGGACCATAAACGCTATCGTACTCAGGTAACACTACAACCAGAAAAGATAACAAGAAGCAACGTACAAACATACGTTATGGACACCACTTACGAATACATACATATATATATATATATATATATATATATATATACAAAGAAATAATCACACATAGAATCAATCAGAAGTATTAATGCGATTATTGGCGACATCCATCGCTAGAAACATAATATATGCTGTATATATATATGGGGGGTGTGTGTGTGTGTGTGTGTGTGTGTGTGTGTGTGTGTGTGTGTGTGTGCCCGTTCGCGCATAGAAAACAACATTATATGATGGCTGGCATAGTTTCACGCCGTACATTATCACCTGACCGTGGTCTGTTGCTCGCTTAATTTCGCATGAATATATCTCTGCTTAGATCTACAAATGTTTTATCTTCGGCATTGATCATCCTTCCCCATAAATATAAAAAATTCTAAATAATATATATATATATATATATATATATATATATATATATATGCAGGACAGGCTGGGTTCTATAGCCTTGGATACCAACTAGTCTAGGAGAAGGACAACTCTGAATTCAAAACCTGCGGTGGGTCGTTTTGAGGACATTGTGGCACGTCGTGCACCAGGTCTGTGTATTCGACCTTTCAAATAGTGTGGTTGGTTCTGCACAAAGCCTTCACCACTATAATGAAATCATGTGCTGGTGTCTGGCTGTCAGTTCCTCGGAACTGAGCTGCTTGACCCTCATACGTCGAATACGGCGGGAGAGTTCACCATATATGTATATATATGGTATAACGATATAAAGATTTTAATATCTCAAGAACAGTTTTGGAGAAAAGATATACGACATAGTGGAAAAAAGTTTTCGTGTGACACGTTTCGTCCCTTATGAATTAATCGGACTAGGTTTCTTTATATTGATGAGATTGCACATGCGCGCTAACGTGAGACGCTGGAAATTTTAAATTTATAATTTGTTTTTTTTTTTTTAATCTCTTTAGGGTACATAATCTAACGAATTTAATTTAGATTCTGTTTGTTTTTGTTTCCACGATGTTTTTTTTATTATTATTATTAATTTAAGATAACTGAAGATCTGCAAAGATTAGTGAAACGTTGTAAGGACCTGGACGCAAATTTACTATGAATGAACTTAAAACACATTCTTTAGAAGTAAATTTGCGTCTTAGTGAATTATTTTCTCTTTTAATTAGAATCGCTTTTTTATGTTAAAATTGTAGCCAGTCCCGTTACGATGAGCAACAAATGCGTTTAATGTTTGATTTTTTTTTTTTTTTTTTTTTTTGAATGTCTCTTTTGTGTTCATATAATCTTTTATTTTAAACGTCTTGAGGTTTCGCCAATATTTTCTTTCTGGCAATGTTTACTGGTAATAGAATAAATTCCCCCTTCAAATTTTGGCTCTCTGTTTTGTTTTTGTATTGATTAAATCTTGTATTGTTTTAAATGTAGTTGTGACAAATTTAATGCTGTGTTTAAATTATTTTCGTCTGTTGTTGTAATAGAGTTAATGGATATATAATATCGCACATTAAGTGCTGATGTTAATAAAATAGTCCTCGATATAGAATAACAGAGCTATAAATTATATATTAATAATAAATATACATTTTTCCGCATCAGTAGCCCAACTCTGAGTTTCATGCAAAACGCAGTCCTCAAGTTGCTAAGTTAAAACCATTTAATTAATGCTTACATGTGTGGCACAAGGCCGAGGCAGAAGTGTGGTGGAGGTAATCTGATTAACAATCCATTCATTCATACAACTGATCAATTATCACAAGAACTCAGTCATAACCATTCAATCCAACATCATAAAAGGAAAAATCTCTAACTGGAACCTTAGTGAACGTATTTTCAAAGTCAAGTGATGCTATATTTTCATCATTAGATCTTTCGGTTTTTAATATTTGTATCAGTTCAAAGTTTGATTTAATGCTGTATTTGTTAGGTGTGTATGGTATTAGTTAAGCGTTTTAGTTAGTTGGTAGACAGGAGTGGGAATATGGAC